TACCCGGAAAGGAGAAAGATAAAAACTCAGCCACACTAACTTACTTTATTTTCACTCCCAACAAGTTACTAGCCATTCCATTTCCTGTAAATAATCTGATTTCTCTTAAGTTGCACAGTCATGTCCATTATAACTTGGTTAATTAAAAACCAGGCAATTTAAACTTGGTATTTTTAGACTTCCAAGTGTTTACAGGCTACGCACAATTCCTGCTCCTTTTGTAAATATCTAAGTACGCAGACTGTGTAACTACAACCTCAGTTCCTCACAGCTCCAAAAAACAGATGGGCTATTGCATCTTCAGACAACTGGAGTGAGGAAGGATGGAAAGAACTGGATGGGTTTGTGGACTATACATCTCCATGACCCCCAGTAACTGATATTTAAACCTTTATTTCTATTTTCCAGTGGCAGTCTACATGTCTCTTTCTAATCTTTTACTGACTTCACAAAAAATCATTGGTACTTGGGAGTTGCATTTTGGAGGTGTTCACTGAAAAACTACCCTGCTACGTTTCTCTGCTGACCACACGAACTCCCAGATGCTCATTGGCAGCTTCGTAGTTCAAAAAGTCACAAGGAGAATGACAGTTATTTTGCAAGTGCCAGGGATGAAGACTATTTTGGTGAATGAAGAACATATCCAGTCTCACACCTCTGAATTGACATGGTCCCCTCCCCAGTGTTCTTTGTTTAAGGATAGCTATTCTCTTTTATTTTTTGTTAAGCAGTTCGAGTAGTCTTGCAAAACATTTGATAAGGCTTGTTTGGTCCCTAAGCAAGGACAGAGGTACTTCCAAGGTCTAGATAGATTCTATCAGCTTGGAGCTGTTAGCCCTAGTGAGGAAACAGGTGGGTAAGTATTATGGTTTAAATGAAACTCATTCAGAGTTTCAACCTGGGGAAGAAATCTAGAATGAATTTGCAGAGGGGGGAAAAAATCCCTGAGGAAGAGAGGAAAGAGATGATCTGTCACAAATAGCATTAATTTTACTCATAATCATGTCAGAAGTAACTGAAAAATAATTAGTGCCTTCCTGGGCAGGTGAAAGAGGGTGCAAGATATGAAGTGTTTATAAGTTATTGTTCATAATGGATACATGACCTAACTTCAGGTCCTTTGGGGATACTAGATCTCTAACAAGGGAGAAACAGTCTTCCAATATTCACATGAATCACCTTGCTAGTCTTCACGCACCTGAGAAAGGTTATTCCTCCCAGGACGATCCCTGCACTACATAACTGGATCCGAACATGTCTGCATGCTCCCTTCCTTGGAAGGCTGAACCTTTCAAATACAGCTCTGCTCTGGGAGCAGTCTGGCACACAGTGTGATGGAAGGGCATGCCACTAGAAGTCCCAAACTAGTCCGAAACACTATCACATCTGAATTGTGAAGCAGACTTAGCTGGGCCAGAAGTTTTCATGTATGTGGTGAGTGCTGCTGGCCATCAGTGAACTGAAACTGGAGAAAAGCTAACAAGCAGACCTTTCCCTAAAAATCCCATATTTGTGGTATCTCTGTGTGTAATTACAATTAGCTTCTTTAACTGTAGCATCAACTACAATTAAGGAAGACACTGTGCAGTAAGATAAGTACGTAAATCAGTATAGTTAACTTGATATTTACTCTATTGACAGAAGATGGTGTGGCAAAGTAAAATGGAACTCAAGAAAACTTGTTTTACTGCCCAAGATTTCCACAAGAGTACTAGTGCAGTATCTGAAAAGCCTTGTACTACTGCAACTAAGCCATCCAACAGAACATAAAGTTACATCCATATTAGTGAATTAGACGGGTCTTGGACTGTCCTCTGGCATCAGTTCTAATTGGAACGGAGTAACTCACATTCAAATTACAAGAAGCTCAACCGGAGCTGGCAATGTGCACTTGCAGCCCAGAAAGCCTACTGTATCCTGGGCTGCATCAAAAGAAGCGTGGCCAGCAGGTCAAGGGAGGTGATTCTGCCTCTCTACTCTGCCCTCATGAGACCTCACCTGGAGTATTGCGTTCAGCTCTGGGGCCCCCAACTGAAGAAGGACATGGAGCTGTTGGAATGAGTTCAGATGAGGGCCACAAAGATGTTCCAAGGGCTGGAGCATCTCTCCTATGAAGATAAGCTGAGATAATTGGGGTTATTCAGCCTGGAGAAGAGAAGGCTCTGGGGAGCTTTCTCCAGTAATTAAGGGGGGCTACAAGAAAGCTGGAGAGGGACTTTTACAAGGACATGTAGTGACAGGACAAGAGGTAATGGCTTTAAACTGAAAAAGGGTAGATTTTAGAGATAAGGAAGGAATTCTTCACTCTGAGGGAGGTGAGGCAGTGGAAGAGGTTGCCCAGAGAAGTTGTGGCTGCCCCATCCCTGGAAGTGTTCAAGGCCAGGTTGGATGAGGGCTTGAGCAACCTGGTGTAGTGGAAGGTGTCCCTGCCCATGGCAGAGATGTTGGAACTAGATGATCTTTGAGGTCCCTTCCAACCCAAACCATTCTATGATTCCTAAGTTGTCCTCTAAAACATGATACTCGTATTCAAACTCCCAAGTAGGAATAGTAGCTGGCCTGTTAATATCTTGAATCCTGCCCAGAATTATCTGGGAGACAGCTAGCTGGCCCAAAGCAAAACCACAGTAGGGACCCATTGATGAACTCAAGTGCCCACGGTTGTTATCTAGCATTGCATTGTTTTCTAGTAGAAAGGTAGTCTAAGGTCAATCTGTGTGGAATGACTTGGTTGAGAGAATTATTTAATACCTTCCCACCAGGACAATGGGTTGTCTAGACTTTGTCCAGCAGGCTAAGATAAGCTTCACTTGCCTGAGAAACATCTAGAGAAACAGGAGGACAAGCTGCTGTACCTAATGATTCCAAGCATTCAATTTCCCGGAGCAACACACAGGACATGGTATCAGTCATCACCAGAGTTATTAGGATTTAATTTAGATTTTCTTTAATTAATTCTTGCTGTTAAAAGATTTTGTTCTTTTAACAGCACATTACTGAAGATACTGAAATTAACTGATTTCATTAAAAAGTGAAATTATTAAACTGTCTCTGTACTTCAGTTACTCAGCATTTACTACACTTTGTAAAGTCCTCTCAAGTTCTGAGACAAAAAGAAACACAAGTCGTATCTTTGTGAATCTTTTGGAGGCACCAGTGAAAGCTTTCGGACTCAAGCTATTTAAGATACTGAAGCAATAATGCGGAAGATGTTAGTAACATTAAGTAAGTTCATGCTTCCATTCTCATATGGATGTTTTTCCAGTATAAAGTGAAATCAGATGCCTGGTACAGATAACTTTCTGATCATTATTCCTTGTAACCTAGCCCATTACAAAGCATGATGTTTGAAAGCATTAGTGGAAAAAGATTCCAAATGATTAAGTTCTTTCATGCTAGCACTGTCTCCATTGACGCTTTTAAAAGGAGATGACTGTTTTGAAAAGCAGTATGACTTTTCATCTGGATTAAGTCTCAAAAAATTAATATTAGCTTCTAATGCCAAATATGAAACAGACTAAAACTTTAATTCTGTTGCACTGCTCCATAGATTAAAATCCTTTCAGATCAAAGCTGAAATTGTAAGTTTGAAAATTCTAATAAATAAGAAACCCCAATTAACAATTACATAATAGTATAAAATTTAGCTTTGGTGAAATTGTAATTGAAAGATAGTCTTGTAAACATTTCTGATAGTGACAATATTTATCTACATTAAAAAAAAACACATGGTGGTCTTACATTTTATTTAAACAGAACCACAACATGCAGAGAGAGAAGACAGTTCCTATCTAACTCTCTGAAGGCTTCCCAAGTCACTCCGGACTTGGATGAAATTCAGAGATCTCCCTTCAACACAGGACGAACAGAGAGGGGACAGTCAAGCAGCACCACAAAGATGGCTGGCAATACCTTCAATTCCAAGCACCCCAAAATCATGCTTTTGCCTTCCTTCCACCTCTAAAGGTGGCTTTAAAACTGGTTTTGCAAAAGCAACAGTATTAAAAAAATAAGTCAAGCCCAAGTGCTTTATATTGACCCAGTGTTGCTTTCAAACTGGAATTTGAGATTCCTATTATATATTGATTGAAACAGTCATAAAACTACTAAACATCGTAAGACAAAGAAATAACCCCCTGAAAACAAAAGGAAAAAAACTTCCCAACTCCAAATATCCTGAAGTCTTTACCTGAAATCCCAACCCACAGAAGAGAGCAGGGAGATGGAAAGAAGGATGAACTCCCCCCTCCTTTTGGGTGTCACATTTTATATGATTTTTAGTGGCTTTTCTAATTTCTGCAGCTTTAGAGCTTACTCAAACAGATGTGGGGTTAAGAAAACTAGCACTGATTTTATTAAGGCTTCTCATAGTTCCCAAGTTCTGCTCTGCCCTGTGCCACCCACACACACTGTACACTGGCACAGTATGACAACTGTCAAGGCTGATTTGACTGACCTCCGCTGTTCACTTTTGACTTTAATGTTGTTTATAGAAATTTGCATTGGCAAAACCCGGTTCTTTATTAGCAGGATTTTCACATTAATTAGACCCACATTTTTAATTTCTCATACAATACAACTTTTAGTGTTTGAAATCTGTTGTTAGTGAAACACAGAACATTCAGTGATTAGACCAGGAATAAAGAGGTCACCTGCACCATTCATACCCACCTACACAGACATCTCCAAGCCAGCCCAGAACAAAATAGCTTCAAGCCTGGGACTAGCTGAAAGAGCGAGCATCTGCCTGGTAAGGCAAAAGAGTTTATAGCCTCCAAGTTAGTATCTCTGTCTCATGTAGACATACCATTTAACTTAAAGCTAGCTTAGATATTTTGAAGAGTGCAGCCTTGTGAATTGCAGATATACAATAAATTGCACATGCAAAAGTGAAAAAGTCTGAAGTGACTCTTTCTCTATAAATACTAACACTCTATAGAAGATTGGCATTACAATATTTAAGAAGAGATCCCATGCCCTGATAATAATTAGTATATTACCTGATGGTATTTCTTCAGTATGTTGTGCATTTCTGCTACATCTTCACTTGTTATAGTTTTGATGATATATCTTTTGTCGTAAGACGTATGAAAGCGGGCACCACTGCGTGCCTGGGAATCATTGGCAAGGGGTGCACTTCTTGTCAATGAATTCTGTCAATTGATTTAAAGTAAAAAAAGCATCAAGTCAGACAAAAATAGGCAACTTTTAATTAGAACAAACATAAACAATTTACATTTATTTTTTAATCTCTTTCAATACATCTGCACTGAGCTGAACTCTGCAAAGCATGAAATCACAGACCGCGTTATCTTGACAAAACACTTCAAAAATATTCTGAGAACAAAAGAATGTTTGGGAGAAGGTATTAATCATCAGTGGTTCAAAAATAAGTCTCAATACTGAATGAGAGCTTATTGCACTTTGTTACATATACATCGTCAGCTTTTGGGAAGAAAACATGCAGTAATTAAAAATCTAAAAGGAACACTGTATTACACCACAATAACTATAAACACAGGATTCATCCGTAGTAGCAGTATCCGTTTAAAACTGAGCAGGATTTGCTCTTGAGGCAGTGTGATCTGGTCCATAAACAAGATCACTATTAGATTTCTAAGTTCTAGTGCTAGAGCTATTCCAATGATTTCATATTTAGTATTAAGGAAGTAATATTATTGTACAGTACCTCCTTTTGTAAAATAGACCTACCTTCCTACAGACTCAAGAGGGGAAGATTAGTTAATGACTGTATAGTAGTTAGAAGAAAAACTGCTAGAGATTGGTGACCATTTTTAGACTGAAGCTGGAGACTACTTGTGCTTCAACAGTAGCAAAAGAAGCCTTCTGCTTTTTTCAGAAAATAAGAAATCTTTTCAGATTTTCAAAAAATAAGAGAACTTATAGCAGCCTTCCAGTACCTGAAGGGGGCCTACAAGAAAGCTGGAGAGGGACTTCTGACAAGAGCATGTAGTGATAAGAAAAGGGGCAATGGCTTTAAACTGAAAAAGGGTAGATTTAGATTAGAGACAAGGAAGAAATTTTTTACAATGAGAGTGGTGAAACACTGGAACAGGTTGCCCAGAGAAGTTGTGGCTGCCTCATCCCTGGAGGTGTTCAAGCCCAGGCTGGATGAGGCTTTGAGCAACCTGATCTAGGGGAAGGTGTCCCTGCCCATGGCAGGGGGGTTGGAACTAGATGATCTTGAAAGTCCCTTCCAACCCAAATCATTCTATGATTCTAAGTATTCAGATTAGATTTCTTTATATTTAAAACCAGTAAAAATCAGACAAAGTTTAACAACTTGCTTTTGGCTGGAAACATCTTTCTTTACCAGTGAGAGTTTATGCAATTGTTACATGCTTGAATCACAGTCTTTTTTTTTTTTTCTGTTGTGTTTTTTTTTTAAATAAGTAGTAACAGCAGTAGCACAGCCACAAGAAAACACAACAATGTTCTTACACCCCATATGTACTTCCATAAAAATGGAACATACCCTGAATAGGTTAAACAAGTTAATTACAGAATGCTGGAACATTATTTATGAAATAAACTTGTAGTACCTATTTGGTATATCCCTACTGGCAGCAGAAAACCTCGGGCTCCTGCTATTTTTCCTCATTGTATCATACTGCACAAACAGCTGTTGCTAAATTGAAATATACTTTCCCTCTTCTGCACTCACATAGCATAATGTACTCCATTCTAGAAGAAAAGCCATTTCACAGAAAGTTTCAGTAAAATTTTGTACATAAACGTAAATGTTGCAGATTCCTAAACAGCAAAAATTCAGCTCCAGTAGCTACAGAATACGACGTGTTTGTGTGGTTTGATAAGGCACCGTGAACTGAGTCACAAAACAGGTTTACACTGGAAGAACAATGATGCTTTCAGAAAGTAATTACAAATAGGGTCCATCTACCACAATCATGTACCAAACCCACAAAATTCTATTTTTATAGGAGCTACATCTTATTTGGAAGTTTTACCACTGATAAATCTGTTCATAAACTCTATGGACTTCGGCGGGAGCTGAACATGCAGATTCAACCCCAGTGACGAAAGGTCAGTAATTAGTATAAAGTAATAACCTCAACAAAGAGATGAGGGCAACTATAGTCCCAATTTAAGAAGACACTTAAACACATACAGTTATGTCTCCATATTTTGAAGACCCATTGAGTTTAACAGGCCCTCAGCATAGTTAAATCTTGTCCCAAATGTGGGATGCTTTCTGAAATTGGTTTAATATGAAACAAAAACATTTTCCTGCAAGGTTACTTTGTTCAACTGAAATACTCATGAGTAGTAGCAGTACCAGTAAATCACCTAAAAGTGCACAGCTCTACAAGGTCTTATTAGAATGAAAACCTTAATTATGACATGTAGGAGAAAAATCTTTGTGCGCTTCTCTATATTTAAAGGCTTGTGCAATGAACTAGAATCGTTACTAATATCTATGATAAAAAGTGATGTCTTTCTCCACTATCGACTCTATTCACTAAAGAAAGAAAGGATGTGGGGGCTTCTCTAATGTTTATAAATAAACAATTTTTCTAGACTGATCAGAACAGAGCTTTAGGGACAACCACTGCAGACTCAGTTCCTTCTGTGCACTGGCTTTTGAATAGTTGATTTTAACAGATGCAAGTCCTGATACACCATCACTTCACATAGTACTGAAGATACTAGAGAAGGGAATTTAAGTATAACTGCAGTTTTCTTGACCTGTTTTCAGAAGTTTCCTATTCAAATTCATTTCCCACCACTCCACTGCTGAAGTGTTTTTATATACTGACAAAATCTATTAAAGAGAACAAGTACCATAAACAGATTGAGTTTTCTTAATGGTGCACTTGATCTCAGTACTCCATTAATTTTCGAATTGAATCATAAATACAGTTAGTCTTAGAAACCATCCTCTGTAGAAATCCTCTCTGTTCTAGAGTTAGGACTTGGCTTTATTTCCAGGGCATATATTTAATAGTTTAAGATGAAGAACTGATAATAGAAGTTTTTAAAAAATTGTGCAAATTCAGTTACCTTCATCACAAACTATAAAATATGATGCAACATAATAACTATTTTTAATTTCAAAAAAAGCTAAAGCATGGGTAATCACTAGTGTATGTAGTGAACCACTGCTAAGTTATTAGGCTGTAATTCAGTTAGCAATAATAAAGGCTACTGGGTAATTATTTGTTATTGTTCCCAGCAGAAAAAGGTGCGTTATTGTGAGGTTAACTATTGCAATAAAGCAGCAAGTAGTTTTCTGCAGAGACAAGTCTATACAGTGTGTCCGACAGCAGCCTGAACTGCAGAGCGGTACAATGCAAATAAATGCATATTTTTGGTCTGTCTGATGAGTGCTTACTGTCAAATGCAGTTTTGTGAGACAGTACTTGGTAAAACACTCCTGTACTCATGGTGACCTTTGCCAGAACACACAGATAAGTTTCAGTGATGATTTGTACAAAAAGTGAGTAAAATAAGTTGGACTATAGACATCTGTGCATGGATGCCTTGGAAGAAAAGCTGATTGAACCTGCCTAAAGAAAGCAGCGTGGGGGTCTTCCTCTGCTCTCTTGCTCAGCAGTGAGCTCAGCTAACGGAGACCCATCGCCATCCCCAGTCACCATACCTCCTTCTTAGGTGAGGTGTCTATAGGTGACTGGCAAGGAAATAAAGAACGAAACTCAAGCATCTCCCTTTCCAAAACAAAAATGTAAGTGGGGTTGAGGGACAGCGAAAGGAGAGAAGGGGGGGGCAGGCGGGAAGAGAGAGAGACAGAAAGAGATCATGGCAAATACCAGATTGAATTCCCTCTGGCTCTGCTTCTTAATTAGGAGAAGACTAAGTGGCGTATGAACAGATGGGAAACGAGCCACTCCTCACTTAGCACAGATCTATGAGCCACAAAGCCAGAAAAGGAAGGATATCCTTCGGATATAGAGAAAAAAGTGCCCGACTCTTACCCTCCAAAAGATACAGGTTTGATGATCTAACAACCCTTTTACCACCACTTAACTGCTACTGCACAGCACTTCCACATTGTATCAGGAACCAGTGGAGCACGCATCTAGCTGTACAACGTTGGAGCATTAGCCGTAACAGGTGTTAAGAAATCATCTGTTTATACTATAGTGTTAGTGAGCACAAAACTCAAAGAAAAGAGGGTCACAGTGCCCTGTCCCCTTCAGATTTTCCCAGCCTTCTCCAACTCCGCCACGGTGTGCCTCAGTCCTCTGGCACAATTAAAACATCTGTCAGCCACACATACCCTGCTCCACTTAGCAGCTTCACTTAGCAACTCACTGCAAGTCTCCTGCACCGAGTGTGCATGTTCTGCCAATTCCCCATTCACTTCTCATTTGTGAAGTTTTAATCTTGTGCCTGCTGGTTTTTTGGTCTCAGGAGAAAGAAAAGGTTTTGTACTTTTAAAGTGTGAATACTTTTATGAGGTCATTTAAAGACTATGCTAAATTACTTGTGTAATTACTTATACAACTGAAGACACATTTAACATGCCAAGCTCAGAGATACCTCTACTAGATAAATTTCTCTTTCACATACCTCCTTCTCTCTCCCAAGTAGTTTCCCTCTGAGAAATCACTGGCTGGAAGTCTCACTGCCCTTATATAAATCAATATAAAAAATATCACGTATATTGGACTCAGTAGGCAAGCAACCAGAAATACTCCTCTGGTCTTCAGTGCTGAGAGGCTACAAATCACAAAGAATCCATCCCATAACACAGAATTAATTTCTGATAAGATAATAAAAATGCAGCTTTAAATATAAATGGGTAGAAGCTACACCACTTACTAGTATTTCATTTCCCAAAGAGTTCTTGATGCAGAAATTAATCAGCACACCTGAATTACACGTCATCATTTCAACCGAGAACAGCATATTCTTTAGCAAATTAACTGAAATGTTATTTAGTTTTACTATAGACCTATTCTCTTTCCTCAGCCTCTCTTTCCCAATCTCTCAGCAACCTGCACAGAGTTTTATTTCTTACAGCAAAAATATATTAGGTAAGGAAAAAATTTTTTCCACAGGTCTCTTAGGACCTGATCCACAATTCTTTGAAGTTCACAGGAGCTATTCTGGAGCCTTCATCAGAATTTCATAAACTACAATCCAACAC